GCAAACTCAGCTCACGATTTTCTGGATTAAAAACAACGTTTGTTGACATTTTTCATCCGGCTATATATTGTGATTTTGAACACCGCTTGGGTTTGTGTAATTTTGTAATGTGGACAGTTAAACTACCTGCACACTGAAATACTCCTTGGATTAGGTTTCAGTTATCGACATAAAAGTTTATAGTATATATATATGCAGGAGGAGAGAATGTCTAGAGAGAGAGACTGTGATTTCAACCAGCCGTCTGTTTTCAACTCAGTAAAAACAACGAATCTGATTTGAGCCACATTTATGCATTTTGCAGAACGCAGTGAAAAGGCATCACTGATTTGTCTTTGCGCTTCGAAACAAATCATTCTAGGTTCGTTTTCTTATGACTGACAATCTCTGTAAAACTGTGGTAGCCGGACAGTTGGCCTGGTTCTCCGATTTGATTGTCTATAAGTCGGCCAATTGGGCCAATCACTGTGCAACCTGAACAAAGGAGCAAAGACAATGCAGATTTTACAGGATGTGTCAAGTCCCTCCAACCTGCTCTTTGCTTGGATGAGAGGTAATGGTGTTGACGAAGTCAAGCCGAATATTTAAAATGACAAAATCATTATAATCCAAATATTATAATGATTTAGCGTCATAATAGTGTGTGTCTGTGTGTGTGTTCCCTTTTATGAGCACACAAGGGTGTATTTGAAAGCAAAAAATGACTTGAGTTCCCATGTTTTAATCAACCGAAAACATTTTTAATGACATATCTCGATACTTTAGTTTTCTTCATGGTATCGTAGCTTTAAGTTTGGGCGTAAAGGGAAAGGAATCGATGCTGCTCAAAAGTGGCCGCCGGCCTAAGGAGGAACAAACTTTTATTTAGTCCTCCATCGCCCCCCACCCCCCATTACACCAGCGTTCTCACACAGTTAAACCTATCTGAAGCCAAAGAGACAGAGCGATGAAATGAACATATTATCAATTTGGACACCAGGATTTGTGCCATAGGAAAACCTGTTAATTCAATTGTCCAACTCAGCTCCGATATTATCGATGGTAACACAGATTACGGCATTAAAGACGTTCTAATTTAATTGCCAAATGGGACAGTTTAATAGTCGGGGTCATTACGCACACAACTGCGTTATGCACATAAGTGCTGGGCCACGTCGTTTCAAGATGGAGATAAAAGGTTGCTGATGCTATTTACGCACGAAGGAGGTTCCAAATCTTAGAGAAGATAGGAAGAACAAGACAAAACGGAGGCATTTAATTTGTAAAGTTGTAAAGTGGACAGGTGCTGACTGTCAAGAAACAATTAACCACTAAACAGTCAGTTCACTGACAGAACCACAAAGGCCAGTTTCTGGTGTCATGTCCATTATTTGTTGAAACTTCCAAATTACTTAGGCTACACGTGGGGACTTTGTGGGGTCAAGTGGAGTAATGAGCAATGATTGACAAGTTCAGATTTTTATGTTCATGTGGCAAATTATCAGACACAAAACTAACCTTACATAGACGCAAGCACCTCGGAGGAAGTATGAGAGCACTGCGTTTGGAGCGACTTCTGTTGCATAGCCTACCTATAATATAGATTCGCTGATATTTTCATTACAGTTCCTGTTTTTATGATGATAATAGCTTAAAATCAAATCTTGACACGGACATGCTCTTGGGGTGCCTCTCCTTTCCTGTAACTCAAACATCTTAAAGGTTTTTTATACTCACCATAGCACTGGATGAGTGCTCCGTTGTGTCCGCTCTCCTGGTGCAGTTTGTTGTCCTCGGGGGGTGTTTTGCAAGGAGATCTCTGCATAAAGAGGTGGTATTTGCTGAACGTGCCTTGCCCAGCTCCGGCGGCATCCAATGACTGGCACTCCTGCTGGAACGGACTCCGGGACTTTTCTCCGTAAGCCTGACCTTTGTTGGGCAGGAAGGCAGTGGGGCTGTATTTGGTGTCAGCGGCTGGGAATGTCCTAAAGTGGCCCGTGTGGCGATCCCTACCTTGCGCTGCAGAAGGACTATAATATGAATCCATGGATGTCATGTCTCTCTCCCCCTCTCTCTCTCTCTCTTGGTAAGGGAAGCGCAGACACCCCTTCCTCTCCCTCTACCTCTAATTCACACATGCACGCACAGACTGCAGCGCACACCAAACCGCATCTGGGTTTGGTTATAGAAGATTCAGATCTTTTCCAGGAACCACTGTCGTTGACCAAACACTCCAAACTCCTCCTCGGGTCTGAGGAGAGTTACACAAATCCGTCTTTCCTCAGAGGATGGGACCCAGATCTCCGGGCTTCAAGACCTCTCCCAAGTGATTATGCTGATGACATGAACGAGTTAGGTCGTTTATTAGTCGAAAAGGGGGGAGAAAGAGTTTGCGAAACGGGAACGGAGGGGCTTAACTCATGACATTAATTCAATTTAGATATGAATAGCTGTAGCCTATGAGTTCTAGCACTGGAGCGGAAAGGGCACAATGTTACGCTTAATTTGCGATGGTTCATCGAGGGCAAATCATCTATACTCAGCCATATACTTCCTACAGTGTATGGCTTTGTGAATAAACTTAAAACTTTAAACCCCTTAATTACCATTTAACACAAATCTTTGAGTGATGTGCATTTTAATTATTTGTCTCATCCATAAACAGCTTAGAAAATCATTTGAATTCGAAGAACCGATGACTGTTAATGTGTTTTAATTTGATTGTAGAACATGTTCGGTCAGACAGGCCTATCTAAATAAAGGTGGAGTCATGCAGGATTATTATACTCCACAGATCACCTAACTTTAATTATTTGAGACTTGTGTTGTAAACTTTGCACCTTTATTTTATCACTTACAGCAGGTTTGGTCTGAGAAATACAATACTCACACTAACTGCAAATATTTTCCAGACCCAGATTTCAGACATCGTCCAGATTGAAGCACTGTGTAAAATAATCATATACTGTACAAATGTCAGTCCACAGTAGGCTGTAAACACGCTCATAATGACAGGCAGCATTTTCTAAGATTAGTAAATTGCATGATATTTCAGGATTATTAATCCTCCTATAGTCAGAGTATTTACTGTGTCCCTTTTGAATAGACAAGAATTTATAGATTCCACTTGAACAAAAATTCAGCTTTTTTCTTATTTTCCCCACCACCAACAGATTTTTTTTACTTTATCCGTAGCAGTTAATTATTTCCTGAAAATGATACAATTTAATGCAAACAGATAATATGAATACAGTTTACTTTTAATACAGTTCACTGAAGTTCAGTTTAATTCGACACAATGTCTTTGTGATATGAGTAACTTGTTTTTTTTTGTTGTTGTTGTTTTTTTTTTTGCTTGTTGAAGCTATGAATACAAGAAAACACGCTCCTATTTATTTGTGTTTATCTATGCCTAAATGCTATATGAGTTTCAAGTGAATTATTTAACAGTATTGCAGTTTCTCATACATTGTTGATAGATTAGATATTCTTACAAGCCCAGTAAGATTTACACACTTGGCTGATTCCCTTTTACCCATGTACACTAAAATAATAGGATCAGTAAAATATATATTTTCTATTTATAACAGGCATCTCATATTCACAATCCTCTGTCTGTTAATTTTATGTGCTAAGGGAAATGTTACACTCACATAGAATTCTATCTTTTGAATAGTACTTTGAGATCTAATATCAAATAAAAGTGACCATCTTTGCCTTTTTGTCTGGTCAGGTGTTGTTTGTTATTCGTGTCTCGCGGTCACACCGGCGACTCTTGAATAGCAGAGCTTTGCTGGAAAATGAGAAGTTTGGAGCTTATAAGAAACAGCAGAAAAAGTGACAGACTCACAGCTAGAAGGCATGCATAATGTGCACAGACACCAACAAACTCACATGTTCATACAGTCATACACACATGGTGGACACATGCACATATACAATACAAGCACATGTGCGAGAGAAAAAAGAAGCAGCAACTGAGAGAAGGAATAAAAATCTGCTCCACTCACACGACTGGATTTCAAACGAAGCCTATCAGGCTGGAAGGTGTCCACACCTGTAGGTCAGATGCTCTGAAGACCTGGTTCACAACTGACTGGCTCAAGTGGGAACTAAGATGACTGTAAAATGACTTTGCAGCAGTTCAGATTTCATGTAATACAGTCACATAAATATATAATTACTCTGAACTCTGTTTCCATATGTCAGCAGTATGATCAATAAAGAAGACCTAATGATCACTTGGGGGGGGGGTCAGTTATTACAATGTAAATTAATCATTCTTTATGTTTGTAGCATTTTTATGGTGTGGTTTTACATACTGTTTTTAAGGACTTCTTTAATTATCATTAATTAGTCATTTCATAGACACAAAGTTATATGTCTGCTCCCAGCAACGAGCAGAAGTACTCTGAAATTTTACATGTTTTGTTTCTAGTACAGCTCCACAAAGTCTGCAACCGCTGTAAATAAAGATGGAATAGTGTGTTTTAGTGCCACAGGCATGATATAATCTGCGTTAATTTCACAGGGAATGTGTCTCTAGTTAAATGCTGTATTATAAGAACTATGCACAAAAAGCGAGGGATGGTCAGAGTACAAGCCTGCGGGACTGTGTTCCCACCTATTGAAAGGGAAAACTTTCAATAGGTATCTTATCGAAAGCTTTCCCTTAACAGTAGGCAGCATTAAAACACACACACACACCAAGTGCATTCATTCACACAAAGAAAAAGGAAGGGCAGGCATCATATTTGATTTCTATAAACATTCTTATTATAACTAGAATATTTAGCCAAACTCCTTTAGAAAGAAATCACAACTGCTAAATATTTAAATTGACTGCCTGTTGTGATCAAGGGTCAAATAAAGTTAGACTCCTTATTTGACTGTAAGTTATTGTTTTACTGTTGAGAGGGAACTGGTCTAAATCAGCAAAGAAACACGATGACAGTCAGTTTATGATAAAACATCCATTTAAAGTGATCTATTACAGCATAACTTTAATTGTATATCACTGTAAAGACGCATGCATTCACTGGCAGGAGAAAGACAAACTGCTTAGGATTTCTCTATAAATAAATCATCCATTTTCAGTATGTTTGCATTTCTAAATATTACTTACAATTCAGATCTTATGTTTAACAATTCAATGAAGAAAAATATGACAAAAAAGGAGAATTATTACTGTAAAATCAGTCCCTGTTGTTACATGCAGTATACTGTACATACACTACCTAAAAACACTGTCTAGTGCTCACCATACTAAGGGTTTATACGTTTACAGGAAGTTTAATTGTGACATACAAAGAACAATATTCCACTCGAGAAGAGAAAATGTCAGCAGACAATCAACAGCTTCTTATTAAATATTTGTCAGGGATACTTAAAAACTAAGAATCTGTCGATTTTTCAGGAAGCTCTGTGTAATTATGTTTTTTTCTGAATTTTCTGCTGTGAAATACATTAAAGATATCGTCCTGATGGCACAATGAGTAAGACTGCTGTCACTACCAGTGACCCTGAAATGGCCCTTTAGTGTGTGTAGTTTTCAGATGCCTTGTTCTACTAACTGGACTTGCAAGATATTTGTGAATGTGGGGGCTAAAAGAAAACACAAAGCCCACATCCTTAAACTTTAGCCTCTCCAGTTTGACTGTAGCCTGTGGCAAAGCAACTTGATTGAGGCCTTTGATGGGCATTAATACACCGTGGAGAGACGGGCTTTGTTCGGGAATGGAAATGAACATTAAACGGAAAGCGGAACAGGAAGGAGCGGGGCCCACAAGCTGATCTTATTTAATTTCACATAAAAGAGAAATTCCATCTTCACAGAGTCTGTTTGAGTATCTCAGTGTACGAAAGCCCAGACTTTCTCTGCACACTGGGTATCATATGCTGCATGTGCGCACAGCAGAGATTTGTTGAGCATTTCTGAAATCAAAACAACACAGACAGGGCCATTTTGAAGTCGTCACATGTGACTTTTAAAACCATATGACTCAAATATGTTTTGGTGGCACTGGTCAAATCAGCACTGAGGAATGTTTCGACCTGCTACTTGACATATTGGTGGGCGGCCCTGCCTGCAGGTAAAACATCTGTAATTAGTCTTGACCACATTCTGCTTTTTTCAGTGTGGGTGAGCTAAACTCTGCTCAAGTGTTTCGTCTTCGTGACATACAGATATCTGCAGTGTATCTGACTGAATCACAAATTACACTCCTGTCATATCCTATTACAGTGTTTTCAGTGTTGGACAACAGCACCGCACCAAGTCTTGTGCTGGACTCTTTGAAGACTACTTGACTCAACCCAGTTCATGTATTTAAATGGTGGTGATGTAAACATTTGAAAAGTTAACCGTTTGATTTTGTTTTGTTTGGTTTTGGATTTTTTTTTTGCAGTGAATCAAGTGATTGCTGAGCAAAATAAGAAGTTGTATATTTGTTTTTACCATTTGCTGCCATTTAACCAGTTACTATACATTTATATATTATTTATTCTTCTTATATACTGGCACTTCTTACTATACTTTGCCCTGCTTTGCCATTGTATGTATCATATATCATATCTCGTCAGTTAATTTTACTTTATCAAAGCCATAAGTACAGACACTGTGTTACAGGACGACGTTCTGGACATTATGCTTCATAGACTTCCTGCTGGTAAAAGTTTAAACAAATATATTTCTGCACTGTAAAGCATCATGCAGGGATTAAGTGGACTCAACAAATCCTTTATCATTAACCTAATATAAATACATATGTATTATTCATTTCTAGTTCAATTAAAATGTCTAGATTACATTTCCAGATCAGATCAAAACATCCTACTGCAGTCCGTGAAACATTAGTAACATATCAATGAACTTCCCAGCATGTTGTTTGAACTCCTTCAGTCGTACATGGTGAAAGTTTTCTGTGCATTTTTAATAGCATCTTAAGTTATGGTTGTTTCCTCTAGTAGCAATGAAAACAGTAGTAACCAGGATGAAGGTTAGATTTCATCTTAGTTCCCACCCCTATGTACAGTACAGTTAACAAATTTAAAGGG